TACCTCTGGTGCAAATTACTGACCTCTGTCATCATTTTAAGTGGGGGAACTTGCACAATCGGTGGCTGACTAAATACTTTTTTGCCCCACTGTATATTAATATGCTTAATTTATCGACATGGACTTCACTGCAAAGAATTTAGTGTCCACTAAATTGTATGAGGCCACTGTTGTTATCATTATTATTGGTAACTGTGACACTATAAATAGCTGAAGCCATACTTAATGCTTCCCTTGTGTGAACGCACCTACTTTTTAGCCTCTCTTTTGTAGCACTCATTTGTTTTCTCTGAATTTACACAGACTTGCACATCTTCTTTATTGTTTTCATTGCCGTGTTTTATAACTTGTGGCACAAACAATCCAAATAATAGGTAAACGGAATCTCTACATTTATTTTGAGGCCAGAGATGGGAGTGGAAATGAGGCTTGTGCACAGAATGCATGTGCACGTGTGACCCCAAGTGTCTGGAGGACTGAAAACACCTCCTGCAGCAATGGTTGGAACCAGCTAGGAGTAATCTTAGCTTGAATGGTGCAGCTGTGTGTGTTGAATTCATTGAGAGAAAATTTGATTTACAGCATTTTTCTTTGTTGACTCAACATTTCTGCTTCATATACATTTTGAGTTTTTTGATTCTCCTTCCACTTAATCAGGCATCTTAAGCAACAACCCAGAGCCTTAAATCCTTCTGAGTTGTACTTAACAATGGATCTAGTCCTGGAACTAGAAGCCCTATATGCTTTGTTTAAATTCATGCCTTGTGCAATGTATAATCAAGACAGACTTTATATGTACAATGTTTGATTTTATGCACAGTGATTGATTTTAAAGTAAGGTCAAATTACACAAAATTATGCAGCAGGATTTTCATATTTTCCAGTGCTTTAATTCACTCAGTAAAAACCAAGGACATACACTCTCAGACCCTCTCAAACTGGCAGGATTCTCTCTTTAGTAAAATAAGAGCACCACACAGGGTCATGGGCGGTGGAGCGCCAACGCACACAAACCATCACAATACATGCTGAAAGTGCTCCACTGCAGTACTACAAGTGAAATGTGGAAATTAATCTCATTGTGAAATGTTAGAAATAGATGAGTGTGTTAGACGGAGGGGTTTTAATGCACAAACTGATTGGACAACATCTGTTTTTAATAAAGGACACACCTGTTGTGACTTGTATGACAATGTTATGAAAGAGCAGAGGGGTAGTTGTTGATTAGTGAGAACAAGAGGGTTCATTCATTGGCATGGGTGGTTACTGGCCCCGCACTTAACGCTTGAGAGGAGAACGAAGGGCCAACGCTGTGCAAAGTTTCTCTATACGGCATAATTAAACTTGCCTCAGTCCCACTTGAGAATACACTGAAGTGCAGCGTCCTCTGCATACGGCATCGCAAGTTGGGAATGTGAAGTAATGACTAAACACAGAATAGCAGCTGAGTCATAACATCCAATCAGCACACAATGGTGAGGTTAAATAGGTTTTTATGCGTTAGCCGGCAGCAACAGTGAGCAATTATGTTTAACAAAAGCACAAAAAAGAAAAGTAAAAAGGTCTTTGATGCTTTTTTTGTCTTATCGACCACCAAAAGCGCTTTACAATTCAAACCGTCCTCGCCCACAAAGTGATTTGATTTCATATTATCTTTATCAGTATGGGGGTTCGGTATCGTGCCCCAAAGAGTTCCGATTACAGGATGACCCAAATGTTTTTGTCATCCACTGACAGATTTGATCAAAATTGTAATGGTAGCATTTTCTTATAGCTGTAAGCTTTTAAAATGTGTTTGATAGATGGTTGGGATTCTGAAGTACTGTATATTTATCTGTACTGTATAAATGTCGAATGTCACACGGCGTTTTTAACTAGCTCACACTAAGTGGAACATTTAACATCTAAAGAGCCAGACACTGGATGTTAACATCACGTTTTCAGCGACTTCAGATGTGAGAAGTTATCCATCCAGCAAAGAAAAGATGCTGAAAATGATGCGCTAACAATCATAATGTTTAAAACGTGAAATGTGACGTTTTTTTAAGTGTCGTTAAACACAGCG